ATTTTGCAAGAAATGAGTCAGATTTCCTGGGCAAATTGGTAACTGGTGATGAGACATGGATCTACTGTTATGATCCTGAGACAAAGGAATAGTCTAAGGAATGGAGGCACAGTGGTTCCCCCAGGCCAAAGAAGTTCAGAGTGCAAAGGTCAGTGCAGAAATGGCAACAGTTTTTCGGGATAAGAAGGGAGTTCTGCTGGTGGACTACCTCCAACAGGGTTCAACCATCAGTGTAAAATATTACAGTGGTACCTCGACTTAAGGACTTAATCTGTATTGGGACTGCATTCTTAAGTTGAAACGTTCTTAAGTCGAAGCACCATTTCCCATAGGAATGCACTGAAAACCATTTAATCCTTCTCTGCTGTTTTTTGTTCTTAAGTCAAGGCACCGTTTTTAAACCGAAACATTAGTTCCCATAGGAACTAATGCAAAACCGGTTAATCCATATCTACCACTAGGGGGCAAATTTTTTTAAAAAAATTCTTCTTTTGACCTAAGGTGAACTTAGGTCCCAAAAAAAATTGCAGGAAAGGGTTTTTTCTCTCCTTTTTTGGTTATTAAGTCGAGGCTCTGTTCTCAAGTCGAAGCAACTTTTTGCGAATGGAGCCGTTCTTAACTCGAATCGTTCTTATGTAGGGACGTTCTCAAGCCGAGGTACCACTATACAGTGCTTTATTGACAACGCTGAAGCAAAACATCAAGGAAAAACATAGAGGAAAGCTCTCCAAAGGTGTCATCCTGTTGCATGACAATACCTCATCACACACTGCCGGTGAAACAATGACAAAACTTACCTCCTTAGGCTTTCAAGTGATGCTCCGTCCACCCTATTCTCCCGACCTGGCACCTTCTGACTATTATCTGTTCCCCAAACTCAAAAAACACCTAAAGGGACGACGATATGGGAGTGTTCTGGAGGCAACTAATGCTTCAAATGAGTGGTTACACCAGCAGTCAGAAGAATTTTATTTGCAGGGACTTAAGAAACTGTAGGACAGATGTCGCATGTGTGTTGACTTCCTGGTGGAATATGTAGAATAGTGTGGCAGTTACAGCTTCCTAGCTCATTTTTTTCTGGGTAAGGCTCTATACTCGTCAGCACTCCCTCGTATGTAACTTTGTTGTATTTTCTCTTATTCATTTTTATTTATTTTGCAAATCATCATCATCATCATTAAAGCTCTTGATTCCCACTTCATCTCCAGTGTGGAAGCCTTTTGAGTTCCCAGTTAAATCAAATATGGATGTGCGTAGAATATGTTTCTATATAGAGATAAATAAATATAAAGCATGGAAATATGTATGCTATATATGTCTCTGTGTGAATGCATGTGTACAGTTGATGAAAGTGTGCATGAAATCTAGCTACATCTCCAAACTAATATTTAACCATTTCCTCTGGGTTTTTTATTCTTAACTTCTTCCACATTCCCTTCCATGACACACCAAGGAAAGGAATCAGTGAGTTTCATCCTGGTATTCATTTACTGTCTTCCTGTGCTCTTGCTAATGTAACAACAAGATAATTGATTAAGTTGTGGCATCCCCTTTTATTGCCCATCTCTTCAGTTTTGGGCTAACTCCAATGCTAGTTCTAGCAAGGGTAGACCCATTGAAACATCACATCAGTTGCATGTGTATAGATGAAAGACTTAGCAACTTGGGAAGTGAACTCCTAGATACCAGTAAATGATTAGTGAATGGGAGAAATTATATTTTACTTCCCGATCAATTGGATGGTGAAGTCCCAGCCACCTATGTAGCCTCGCCCAGAAGCTGTGCTGAAGAACTCTTAACTGCGACTCAGGATCTGGGCCATTACTTTCTTAATTGTACATAGTTACATCTGCTTATTTTTCCTTGTTAAAAACTGATTTAAAAGAACTGCTTAATAGCTTTGCCATTTAAAAACCATCATTTTTATCTTCTTTCTAATTTATTAATAAGTCTTCTTCCCCTTTAGAATTGCTTTCCCCCAGGGCTTACTAATACTCTGTGTTAACAAGCTTTTAGTTAGATATACCTCTGCTTTTGTACATACAAAAGCGTAACACATACGCACAGTATATACAGGCACACATGCACACACACACACCGATGATGTAAAACAACATTCTCTCCTGAAGACTGAAATACTTCCATCCTCATTTTCATCCAAAGAAACTACTCATTTGAAGAAGAGAATTTTTAAAAAAACTTTCATTTAAAGGCTGATTAAAAAGAAGGAATTGGTACTTAATGAAATAGAAGGTGCATTCTGTGTGAACTTTTGCATCCCCTGTGTGAAATGATGTAAACCAATTCATAAGGGAGTATGTATTGAGGGTGACATTGGGACTCTGTTCCTGAGTCAAGCGAGTTAAACACTACCCGTTTGGCCATTATTATCCGTGTAATCATAGTTGTGTAACAAGCAAAAATGCCAAACCTTGACCATTTTTGCCACATGCATGGAATCTCTTTCTGTATTTTGAAGTTATGATTGAGGAGAATTTCAAATGCTGGTGGAAGCTCATGCGTGATTAATAGATTTTCCAGTTACAGACATTCCCCCAAAGAATGGGCCACAGTTGGGTATGCCTAGCAAGGCACATGAAAGTGAGGCAACATACTACTGACTCAATAGACCTATTGCCTTGCCCCCATCCAATTGTGTGTATTGTTAACAAACTAATTAGGGTAGTGAGGAGAGAAAGTGTATCTTTTTGAAGGTGCAGAAAATCATTAGCAACTAAAGAAAATTGACTTTCTGTAATGATTATATTTTGTACTGCATTTTTTTGTGCTCCAAAAGGACAACTCCTTTGCAGATCACTTATGCAACTGTATAGATACCAAAATATTTGACCGATGGATTGGGTTCACACTTTGCATCTGTCACTTAGGTGGTTTTAGGTGAGCCACTCTCCCTCAGCCTAGTATTATTTTTACATATGTTGCATGATTGTCATAGAGATTCTATCTAAGTAATGAGCATGACACGCTTGAAACACTTGGACGTGCTATGCAAATATTCATTACTATGTGTGATGGATGCAAAAGTTCTCCAACAATGTATATGAACTGTTGTCTGTGCTTGCCAAAACATATAAATTCTTTGATTTTTATAGGTTGTTCTGATTTAATAACTAACAAGATAAAGATATCTTCCTTCTTTCAGTTTTGATGTCCAATACTCACACTCCATTTAAACTTCTGTTTTAGGTTTGCCAGAACCAAAAAGAGAATCTGTATTTCAAGGTTTGGGGAAGGATGAAGGATTTTACACATCTAAAGACTTCTTGCCACTGGTGGCTATGGCAAGTAAACCAGGTAGGTCTGTTATTATTTTATTTTTAATTACTATGCTGTTAAAAATATGTGTCTGAAACATGTATATTTCACCTTGTGATGTGCACAAGGTAGCATAAAATACATTAAAACAATTATTACTTTCAAAATAATACTGGTGTATCTCTATCCATCTCAAGATTAAATTAAGTTGTTTGTCTCCACTAGACTATATACATTGAATTAATTAATGGGACTTGTAAACAAGGTCTATATGTGACTACCGATTAAGTAACCTAGTCTAGTTGGGACTAACAACTGAATTTACACCTCTTGAAAGTTTTCAGAAGAATATAAAGAGGCAGCATCCACCAAACGTTCAGCAGTATATAGCTCAGTTGTATTAACAAAAAAAGCCTTCCAGAACTGGAAAGTTTGCATGCAATTTGAAACCAGGAGAGGGAGAGGGAGATGAGTGCAAAACCTCTGGGAGCTCATTCCATAGTGAAGAGGCTTCATCAGAAAAGACCCTTTTCTTTGCTTTAGATGTTACAGCTTTCTACAAGGAAGCAAGACAGACCAGTAACCACTGAGAAAACTGGTATTGAAGTACAGTATATAATGCAGTCATAGCCTTTTCTGGGAATGTAGATTTTTATCACAGTACACAATTAAACAGCCAAGAGCATAGCTTTTGCCCACATTTGTGGGTTTCCCTCCAACTTCAGTAGACCTTTCGGATGCAATCTGAATTTAACCTCTGAAGGGAAATCCAGGTTCAATCTAATAGTTTTTGATGTGACTAGGTACACAACATGGTGTAGTGAACAGAGCAATGGACTGGGCCTCAGACAACCTGGGTTCAGAGGTTCCTGTGGCCATGGAAACTCCCTATGTGGGCAATACTAATAAAACACACTCCTTAAATGTCTCATATATCTTGAAAGCTCTGTTGGGGTGACTGTATGTGGGGTGCAACTTGATGGCACAACATATTCTTCAGTGCTCCGAAGTCATGTATTTAGGCTGAAGTTGTGAGAAACATATTTTGATAAGAGTACAGAACACTGGATGCAGAGATGCTTAGATGTGATTGAAAATTGTGTAGTTTTCTAGATGAAGCATAGTTATCTCAGAGATTTTTATATATACAATTGCCACAATCCCCAGTTGGCATATCCGTTGGCCATGCTGGCTGGGCGGTTCTGAAAGTTGTCGTTCAAAAATATGTTTTTTTAAAGCTCTAAGTTATCTACAGTTATGAAATGTGTGTGTGTGTGGTCTCTCAACATCAGTGCATATGACAGTATTTCTTCTCTAGTAACTCCATTTGTCACATGACAGCTTTTTTTGTGTGAAAGTGATTTTCTCATCGCGACTCTCATGAATAGTCCATTTTATGGAGAAACGAAATGTACTCACTAAGGACAAAAAACATCTCATCAATTCTGAAATAGGCACATTACAATCCACTTGCTGATCATGATACAGTCCATTCTTCCATGTCTGTGGAACATCTTTAAAGGCTGACAGGAGTGATCCTTCAGGATGGCAGTTACCACTCAGAGTTCTCCATTGCAGGGGAACAAGACTAGGCCCTTAAGGTGCTTGGTGCTGGTTCTTAAATCATGGTAGGAGGAGGTTTCTGGATCTGATATGCTAATAAAATGGTTCCTTCTGCTCTGTTGAGATCTGGTTGGGTAGAATGGAGTGTCCAATAACTTGCCATTTTGACATGTCAAAGATCACTTCCACTCTGTACAGTGGTGCCCCGCTTTACGATTACCCTACATTACAACGAATCCGCTTCATGATGACGTTTTTGCGATCGCTTTTGCAGTCGCAAAACGATGGTCTAAATAGGTTTTTTTCGCTTTGCGATAATCGGTTCCCTTCTTCGGGAACTGATTCTTTGCAAAACGATGGTTTTTTAACAGCTGATTGGCAGTTTCAAAATGGCCACTGGGTAATTAAAATGGCTCCCCGCTGTGTTTGGGGACGGATTCCTCGTTATACAGCCACCAAAAATGGCCACTGTATGGAGGATCTTCGCTGGACAGTGAGTTTTTAGCCCATTGGAATGCACTGAACAGTTTTCAATGCGTTTCAATGGGCTTTTTATTTTCGCTTTACGATGTTTTCGCTTAACAGTGATTTTCCTGGAACGGATTATCGTGAGACACCACTGTAATCCTAAAGAAAGCACTCCATGTCTCAAACTATGAGTCACTGTGACATAGGCAAAAGAATGACACTGAGCAGCAGTTCAGGGGAACCACCACAGTAAAAAAGTGCAGACAAACAAAAGGGAAAGTCTAAGCAAATAGAAAAGGATTTAGGATATATTTAACCACTGCCAGTGCCAACAAAATTAGCAAATATTTTGGCTTAGGCCTAATAAATTCCCATGATGTATCTATATAGAGAAATAATTGTTTATGTACTGTGTTATGCTGAAAAAAAGGATTCTATACACATGTGCATATAAGGAATTTTTTTTAAATTGCATTCACAAACCAGTGTTTAAAGGCGGATTTTTTGTTCTTCAAAGAAATTGATACTTGTGGTCTACACCCTTGCTGTGAAAATTTAGGACTGGTATAGCAGAAAGTTAAGAATTATAGGCCATTGATGGTATGGTAAAAATAAAAACCTACATGTCTAAGTGAAACTATCACAATCTCCTTCAGATTACAGGTTTATGCTATTTATGGTATCATTTTTTTTCCAAATTACAGTAATTTGTTTAATCAATGGTTAGTTGCATTCTACCTGTTGTTAAAGCGCAACACATTGTATGGATTATGGGTCTTTGGGTTTTTGCTTTCAGTTTTTCTCTCCACATCTTGGGAAATACTAGACACTCATTGACACTGTCTGAACTTTCATATTTCACCATACAAGTCTTCTATTTAAAAAAAACAAAACAAAGAAGTGGCAAGACAATATGAAAACATTCCTCCACAGTCAAGAACAAGGTGACTCAGAATTACTTCATAATCTTAATTAATCAGTTGGTAATGACCAGTTCACCCTACACCTGCAATCTGTTAAATCAGACCCATAGATTCAAGTGCAGCAGCTAAACTTTTCCTGTAATGGTAAAGACATCTCCAGAAATCATTCCCCAGTAGAGGTGGTAGGTTGAAAATAGACACTCTGATGGATCCACTGAAACAGCGATGTCTACGTTGGCTTGGGCATGTTATGAGAATGGCTAATGGTCGGATTCCAAAAGATCTCTTGTATGGATAATTAGTGCAGGGAAAGCACCCCAGAGGGAGACCACAGCTGCAATACAAAGATATCGGCAAATGGGGTCTGAAGGCCTTAAGAATGGACCACAACAGATGGGAAACCTTGACATCTGAGCATTCAGCCTGGAGGCAGGCAGTGCATCATGGCCTCTCCCAGTTTGAAGAGACCCTTGTCCAGCAGGCCGAGGCAAAGAGGCAGTCCCGAAAGCAGCAAAATCAGGGATCAGGACAGGGGACAGATTGGATTTGTTTCTAGTGTGGAAGGGATTGTCACTCTCGAATTGGTCTTCTCAGCTACATTAGACGCTGTTCCAAGTCCTCCATACAGAGCATATTACCATAGTCTCTCTAGACTGAAGGATGCCTAATCTAAGATGGATCCACTGGTAGAAATCTGGGCAGTGCTTAGGGTCGCAAACATTATTTATGATGCAGAGGCCCTGTCTGTAGCCACCACTACCACTGCTCAGCTATGGAAAATATTTCTCTCTCCTGCTCCCTTCACTTGCTGCATGGTTACAATTACAGTTATAGTACCGAGGCCTACTCAGATTAATCAAGTGACCATTATAGCTACAATTTTTAAAACATCTCTTTGCTTTACCATTTTTCTAAAGAAACTAAAATGACTGCTTTTTAAAAATATGTATCACTGCTGTAGGCTGTTAGCTTGCAGTATAAAACACATGCTATCTGCCTCACGGTTTCTTCAATATCATCTACAGAGTGGTAGAATATACCAGATGGGTGGGATATAAATCAAATAAATAAATAAATAAATAGACAGACAGACAGACAGACAGACAGACAGACAGACAGATAGATAGATAGATAGATAGATAGATAGATAGATAGATAGATAGATAGATAGATAGATAGATAGATAGATAGATAGAGTAGTGGCATAAGGCAGTGCATGAGCTGGTACAGTACTTAAATTATGTGATATTCCTTTTCCACCTCTTTGCTGACAACCTTGTAATTATAAGAGGATCTAAAAAGTTTTTAACACATTTATAAGCCTGTCCTCATTCACCTCCAAATGAGTTGCACAGTACTATCAGAAGGTGGCCAGAACATTATTACTTAGATATGCCAGCATATCTAAGTGCAGTGGTGTAAACTGCATCTGTGAATTGTCACTAGTTAAGAAGAGAGACATGCATGTTTTGTTGTAAACCAAGACCAGAAACGCAGAGGGAGCAGCCAATGGCAGCAGTTCAAGTGAAAAAATTACACACATGTACAAAATCACACACAGAACTCTCTATCTCTTTAGGTCAGGTATAGGGAGCAGGTGCTAAGATTTATCTTTCTCTTGCAGTTTCTGCTGGTATTCATGAGCATAAAGGAACAGTTCTGGAGACTTTGGTTCAAACAACATCTTCAGCATGAATCAGGGGACAAAGTTACAGTGATAGACAGACATTCCAGTAGAATGTGTGTGTTTTTCCTTTCCTTTTCTATCTCAAAGAATGTTGATGCTTACAAAAAAGAGTCAAAGGTTTAATATTTTGAATGCCAGGATTTTAAATCAGTTGCGCTCAATCTGACAAGGCCCTATAATTTCTTTTTTTCTTCTTCTTGTTTTTCTTTAAAGTGCATTGTACTTTATTTCCTGCCAAGGCAGGAAGGCAATGCTCCTTAAAGGTACTGACTATGAAATTACATGTATGAGCATATCTTAAAAAGTGGGAATAAAACTGTCTTCCAATGAAGCAGAATAATTTGATAGTGACTCTCCATGCTCGGGAACAGCAAGATGCAATTTTACACTGCTCCGAGTACAAGTGCTATTTGAGCTGTCATGCAGAAATAGGTGGGTTTTTTTTAACCCTCCTTGAAAATGGGGTTTTCCTTTCATCACTCAGGAATGTGTGGCTGTCGCTCTCCATTGCCGTCGGTCCAGGGAACAGTGATCGTTCTTGGGGCAGGTGACACCGCTTTTGACTGTGCAACATCAGCTTTGCGCTGTGGAGCTTGTCGTGTTTTCGTGGTCTTCAGAAAAGGATTTACTAATATCCGAGCTGTCCCTGAAGAGGTAAATTTCAAATAATTGAAACACTGGAGGTACTGGTCGAAAATACATTCAAGTATGAAATGCTGATTTATTACTATTGCTCAGGGCCGAACTACCCCTTGCACACAGTCTTGGGGAACATTCTCAGAACCTGAGTACTCAAACTGAACTTGAGAATTTATAACCTTGAACAGAAGTAGGGGAAACAGTCACTTAACCCTTTTCCCTCAGGCTGTTTATTCCAGTAAAAATCTGCCCCTCTTTCAGTGTTGCTTGTTTTCAAAGGAGTGGAAGGCCTTAGAATCTTTCTCTCTTTTTTTGCTGCTGAAACTAAAACTGCCAGGATGTGGAAGCAAAATGTGAACAGAATGATGATGATGGGGGAGGGGTGGACTTAGTTTAGGTTTTCTGGGACTTGTAGCCCAAGAACATCTGGGGACCCATGTTTGGGAATCAATGTCCTACAGCAGTGATGGCAAACCTTTTTGAGCCCGAGTGACCAAACTGCAACACAAAACCAACTTATTTATTTCAGAGTGCCAACACTGCAATTTAAACCTGAATACTGAAGTTGTAGTTTAGAAAAAAAAACAACTGCCCTTGCTCTGCAAGGGTTAAATGCTTTTTTAAATTTTCCTAGGGGCAGTATTAACAGAGAGATACTTACCGGCAACTAGTAATGGCCGCCATTGCACCCTTCCGCTTGACTACTGCACCAGCAGAGGGGAGTGCTGAAATCTGAAATCGGAGAATGGGTATTTCTTGATGGCGACTTATGGCTCACATGCCCTCAGAGAGGGCTCTGTGCCCCAGCTGTGGCACATGTGCCATAGGTTCACCATCAGTATCCTAGGGGATTATACAGCCTTGGGCAAGCTGCATAGTACCAGAGTACCCCTAGAATAAGAGAGTGGTAAACAAATTCTGTGTATTCTGTACCTAGAAAAAGGAAAGGATTGCTATGAGTCAGAATTGACTTGATGGCACAATATTGTTAGTTATGTACAGAGTTTGGTAAAGTTACTTTCTTGGACTATAAAACCAAGAATCCCACCCCCTCCAGCATTGACAGTGGTCATGCTGACTGGGTGATTCTGGGGGTTTTCATCCTACATTCTGCTTAGGGACACAAGAAGCCAACTTCATCCTGACAGGAAACATCTAGCTCAGACTGAGGGTCCCAGCCCAAGACCCCAACTCTCCTACTTGCTATCTTTTGACAGTTAAAGGATGTAGCTTAAGCTAAGGTTTAACTGGACATTTTTTGGATTGAACCAACAACTTTCTAAATGGGAAGAGTAACCTGTGGTGGTGACTTATGCATTCTCCATTGTATTGTTATTTTGTAAGTATAACATCTAAAAGCTCATGTTGCAGGATTTCTAAATTTAGCACTGAGAGTCTATGTGTGTTATTCTGGATCTTTATTTATCTTAGCCAGGGTTGATGTTCAAGGTTGTCAGACAGTCTGCACTCCAAAAAGATCCAGTCTCATTTGTACCTCCCAGACTAACGTTCGGATTGGACCACACTGTTGCTGCATTTTGCATTTCTCTGAATGTTGTGATGTAGTCCTTACTTAAATATATATCCAAAAAAAATACATCCTAAATATATCCAAATGCATATTGTAGGTGGGATAGAAATTAAGTAAATAAATAAGTTTAGAAGCATGTCCAGGTTGAGGGGGGGCAAGGGATAGGAGTGGAAAAACACATTTGTGGGAAAATCCATTCAAAATATGATATGCTTGAAAATGAAACATAAAGATTAATTAATAAGAAAATGGAATGTAACATATTTAGGAATGAACACGTAAGAATAGCAGCACCAGGGATAGAGATTCTTCCCTCATCCCTATGTTCTAGTCCATCTTGGTATACATTCAAGCACCATCTGTCCCTCAGCACAAATATTGAAAAAACCAGTATCTGTAGAGATGATCAGTGTGAAGCTGAGCTTGTCTCCAGATTGAGGTTTGCTGGAGCAGTGATGGACCATGATCCCATTGGGTGTTCTTACTTTTGTAAGCCATTTTATCTTTATAAATTACAAAAATTGGTCTTGTGATAGGGAAAGCTGGCATGTGGAGCTTTTCCCAATTGCTTACTGCATTGCTAGGCCATATCTAGCATGCCACTGTATGCCAAATCAGAGCCAAATAAAACATGTTCATCTTGAAAGTGTGCCACAAGAGTTTAGGTTTATGTTGGTTTTGCAGTAATTAAATAGAAGAATCTTTTCCTGTTTGTAAAGAACAGGCCAGGAATTATGTGCATGCATGTGAAGACTGAAATTTGGAATGAGAGAGGGGAACCAATATGTTACATTTTAAAGACTTTAAAAAAAATAATAATCAAAGTGTAATTCTCCTTTGGAACAAAAACCGCAGTGCTGCTGCCAGCATGTATATTCTGCATTCACACTGAACTTGTGATTGGCATCGTCATCATTTGTTTTATTACAAAAGGTTTTTCTTTCAGCTTTAATTATTGCAGTGCAGTGGGCTTGCTTTGTTGCAATTTATGTGCCACATACCTCGGATTATTGCATAATTTACACTAATGAGACACTGAACATGTCTCAGTTACAAAATATATGGGGAAATAGACTTCTCTGTTCAGAAACAGTTATATAGTATGTTGTAGAGATCCAAACAGTTAACCGGGGAGAAGTAAAGGTAACCAAAAGGAGAAGTAATTTTTTCAAGAGTCATAGGTTATATTGGGCGTTAGGATATTTTGTCATCATGTTAAAATCTAGGAAAATATTATTTTAAATAGATGTAACAATTCTACTGTAGCACTACTCTAATTATATTCTCCTCATCCTTTCTCCCCCTTTTACTGGTGCATAAATATTGCTTGCAACTAGCAGTTTCTTTTTTGTAAAATATTTACCAGCACAAACTATAATTCATCTTGACCATATGAGTGATATCAAATACACATTTAAAACATGGGGAATATATCAGATCATAACCTTTGTGTTTCTTGCAACTTAAAACCTTTAAGTTATTTGCCATCAAACACCATTTAATTGTTGCTGTTTCAATCTATACAGTATACATAGTGCTAAAGCACTTTCTGGGGGCTTTGCAACCCAATTATACAAACAACAACCCACCCCCCCCCCACAGCAAGCTGGGTACTCATTTTATCAACCAGGAAAGGATGCAAGACTGAGTCAACCTTGACTTGGCTGCCTGAACTCATTGAGATCAAGCTGCTGTACTTTAGTTTAATCACTGAGCCACAGGGCACCTTCATTGAAAGAGATAAGAATTTTTCAACATAAATGAAAACAGATGGAACACTATGAGTCAAAATATGAAGAGTTAAGTTCTCACATATTTATTGTATTGTCTTGCCTAATCATTCCATTAAATACTCCATATTTCTTAATACTTTCTGTTCATATATTTCTGGTGAACCATCTAGGGTAAAACTAGAACATCAGACATACTGTTTCTAATCAGTGTGTGGGCACTGCATTTGTACTGGTGGTTACTGCTGAAGAAAACAATAACATCATAAATAGAAGGTTGTTTGTGTGTTACTTTATTGCACATCAAACTAAATGTCATTTTGGGCAGCACCAGAAATTTCTTCGGTGGCTGAATGGTCACCGGGGGGGGGGGGGGGGTTTGGAATTGGGAAAATACAATTGGCCTGTCTCCCTACAAGTGATGATCAGCAGATATTCTCCTGTTCCTCAAAATAACACATTGTCATCATATAGCACAGGGGCAGAGAAGGAATGGAAGCCCACTGCCAGTGGAGGCTTTCTACTGTCCCTTTCCACCTGGGGCTCTGGCTGAAGGTGTGGTTTTTTGCCTCATGTATGCTTCTTTTCAGATTGCATTCTCTCTGAAAAGTTTTGTTTCCTCTGGTGAAACAGTTGTTGTCTTGCACTCTCAAGACAAGTCTAACATTAGAATCTGTGCTGAGCTGACCTTCTCAACATTTCTCACATTTAAAAGAGTAATAAAAGGTTCTGAGCCAAAATTTCTAAAGAGATATTTTTCTAAGAAACATCCTAAGTTTCCTTTTCCATTTGTGTTCCCCAGAGAAGGAAAATAAGTGTTCCAATTTCTTGTCACCGTCCTTTCCTTACATGTTTAGCTCTACAGATCGCTTGCTTCTTTCCACTTCCAAAGAAATTCCATACAAGGATCGAACCTTTGTCTTCACCAGCTCTGTTGGGAGGCTAGGTTGTCATCAGAGAAATCCTAAAAGAACAGGAGACATCAGATGGAGTCCCATTGGTTTGGCTTCTAATTGATGTATTTTAAAGATATTGCAACTCATTCCCTGCCAGTGAATATAAATGTTAAAGAGACATGTTAGGAAGCCTACTGAAAGAATTTTTCATAATGACAAAACTGCTGCAGTTTGTAACTCCAAATACATGTGACCTACAGATGATGCTGATTAAAACTAGTGCATTGTCGCTTCCCTGCTTAAATAGCAATTCCCAGTGTGGTATAGTGGATAGAGTGATGGACTAGGACTCAGCAGGCCTGGGTTCATATTCCCACTCAGCCATGGAAGCTCACTGAGGCTGTGGAACTGGTAAAACCGCTTCTTAAATACCTCACTTGCTTTGAAAGTGCTTTTAGGGTCCTTGTAAGTCAGCATAAGACTTGACAGCACATAGCAACCTATCTAAATACATGTCTCATTTACTTTTAAGCGAGGTGCAAAAATCCATCACTAGTGATGAAAGTAGAACCTTTTCACAAACTATATTCTTCCTCTCCAGATGGACCTTGCAAAGGAAGAAAAGTGTGAATTTCTGCCCTTCCTTTCCCCTCGGAAGGTTGTAGTGAAAGGAGGGAAGATTGTGGCTATGGAGTTTGTTCGGACTGAGCAAGATGAAGATGGAAACTGGAAGGAAGACCATGAGCAGGTTGTCCGTCTGAGAGCAGATGTGGTGATCAGTGCCTTTGGTTCCATCCTACAAGATCATAAAGGTACTTGAAAGTCCTAAGAAACACTTTCCAAATGACATTAAGCATTTTAAGTTCTACTGATTAGAAAGGGAAGATTAAGCACATGCTTAATTTTTTCCCTTTGAAACCAGAAGGACTTAAACATACTTTCATTAGATTGCATCCTTATATATTGGCTGTTCCTAAAACTAGGTGTTATATCAAGTGAAATGTGCAATTACAAAATAATACTGGAATGTGACTTGAAATATAGTTTTATTTTGTGCTGTTCCAAAAATGTCTCCCATGAGAATTTTGCCCATTTTTGTTCCATTTGACAGAAAAGAAATTCCATTTGAAAAGAATTTCAAAGGAAATAAATGTACAGGGGAAATCTCATGCGAACAGTTGAAGATATTTTTTTGGCTTATCTTACTTGTAAGGTGGTTAAGGTATGTGGGTTAATGTCTGGTCTTCCATTGTGTGATCATCTTGATATCATGCAACACCTCCCTACTTACTACATTTCAACTAACATCCAAGATAAGACTTCCAAAGCAATTCCTTCCATGTCCCCCCCCCAAAAAAAAACAGGAAATGTGGGCAGGGAAGGAAATTCCAGAGTGATGGAGAGACATGTAATGCAAGTGAACCAACAAATGTGGTACCATTGACCACTTTGTTATGTTATGGCAAACTCAAAAACACTACCAGAAAAGGGCCTGTAGATGACACACAAAAAGAGAAGTGCCTTTTATGGAGAAATAAAACTTTGGAGAAAATTATGGGATGTTATTAGCTTTACCCTTTTCCTGCAGATAAACATGGCACTGTCTTCTACAATATTTACTAGAAGGGTTTGCAAGGAAAGACCTTTATTAAAATGTACACTAAAGACAAGGTGTATATACAATAGCTTGCCAAAAATGTGCCATTTGGGGGGCCTTGGGGAAGGTGCTGAACCTTGAAGAGTGATTTTTTTAAAAAAAGGGCTAAGCCAGAATTTATTAGAATATATTTTTTCCAAGAACCATTCTAAGTTTTCTTTTTCTTATATTTCTAGAAATAGAAGGGCAATTGCAAATTGCCGCCCTTTTTTGGGTGACAGCCTCCCATCCACTATCACCACTGTAGTGTCCCAGAATGACACTATGTAGAGAACTGTGGAGGAAGCAAAATGGTGCCCAGACTAACAATACTGTACCGGTTGTTTGGGGGGTGGGGGAGGCAGGAAGAAAACAAAGTCATGTTGCAGCTCCTGCTAATGGTGAGCCCCATCTAATGAAAAACTATTGGCAAATTTCATCCACTAGAAATTTAATGAAACAATAACCCCAGTTTCTCTGTTCACATATAAGGACAGAGAATTTAAAGGCCATTTGTTCACGTCTATAGATTTATTGCTCCACTCCTTTTTTCATGTTAAGAAGCATGCATCAGGCATTCATTCTTTTCTTCATTTAGACAAGTCATATTTCTTTTGACATTTGCATTCATGTTCTTGTAAAGACAACCCAGATTACTTTTCTTCATTCAGTTTTGCTTAAGACCAAGGAGACACAATTTACGTGCCCCCTTTTTTATTTAGTCCCCAGAGCCTCAGTTGTAGAAAGCATAACTCACTTCACTGCAACGTGAGCTGCAGTAGCTTAAAACTATATTCACATTGCTTCAAGTACAGTAAGCCTATTACATCAGGGGTTGTCAACCCCCGGTCCGTGACCCGGTGCCGATCTGTGGGCTTGCTGGAACTGGGCCGCGGATACGGATCTCCGCCCCACTGCACTGAACTGAAAATGCCTTCTCATTTGGTTCCGTTTTTTAATGTATTGGAATACAAGGATCTTTGGTTTAGCAGTCCACTGCCTTTCTAACATGCACTTTTGCTGAAGTTACGTTTAATTAAATCGTGTTAGAGCATATGTGGAAAACTTCAGTAATATATACTGAAGCTGAATATATTTGCACCAGAGTACACCGGCAGTATCTATACTCTCATCTAGCAGTTTAATGATCCTATTCTGTTTATCTTCTTTTATTGTAGCCCGAGGTGGACATAGCAACTATGCCAAATCCTGTGCAGCATGGTTAAATCTCAGCTTTCATTAGCTGGTTTTTTTGTGTGTGTTTATCTTTAAGACAGCAAGTTTTTGCAGAGGGTTGGACTGATGTTCTACCCAACCTTAATAAAGAAATGTTGATAGACAGAGAGGAAAATATGGTGATGTCATTGTGGCCACAGAAGTACAAATCTGAATCTGAATTGAGCTGCTGCTGCTGCTGCTGCTCTTGCTTCTTCTTCTTCTTCTTCTTCTTCTTCTTCTTCTCCTCTACCAGGACTGTGGTATTAAGTGAACTCTTGTCATGGAAGACTGTCTACATCGATTCCCAGAGAAAGACTGGTTCTACTGTTAGGCAGAGTGAGGCAGGTATCTTAGTAGCTGGTGAAGAGTGTGGTCAGTGGGACAGAACAGCAAAGCAGTATGTCATTTTGGTCTACAGTGCAGTGGAGCATAGGGAACTCATGTCCTTGAACTGTTGTGGTGAAGCACCCACCTACTATTAGTCCACCAGGTGCCACTGAAGGGAGGAATGCTTCCTCTTGGTCCCTGTACATGGAATGTGGAATAGACTGTAGTCATAATTTACTTTAGGCAACAAAATGTCAGCCTGGCATTGGAGGATGTTTTGACATGCATGAGATCCGTATTTCATTTTGGGGCAGTTTGGAAAAAGATGTTTGTTTTAGAGAATTTTGCAGCTTTCACTGGTATAAACAGTCAGTGATGCAGTTAGAAAATACTTCGTAATATTGGTATGTGTGTGCAAGAGAAAGATTAACCATACATTTGTTCAGGATGAAATGGAAGCAGTAACAATACACTTATTTTAAGATAAATTATTGTGATAGCTTATGAGCAATAATTGAGATCTAAAACATCTCCACCCCTCACCTCAGCCTGCTTCTAACCCTCTCAAAATATCCTTCATAGTTCTGCTGTATTATTTCGTTTTCCTTCTTCACTAAACTGAGTTTCTTCCCAGTCAAGTCTCAGCAAACAACACCAGAAAATGTGTTCACTGTATCTTGGGATACTAAATATACTATGTATTTGTAAGTACCTTTTAAGAAATGATTGCTTAAAAATCAAAAACAACCACAGTAGCATTCACAATTTGAATAGTCTCCCAACCTTATTCTTACATGATTTTGGGCTAGACAAGCCACTCTCCTCTGTTCTCTGCATTTCAGTGTCCCAGTGATTACCGTGGTAGCTACATTTTGTCATTAAAACCTGCACATTGTTTTGGCAGGGGCCTGCATTAATATAACATAGGAAGTTGCCTTCTACAGTGTAAGACCATTGGTCTATCCATCTCCTTCAGAATTGTTTACACTGACAGGCAGTGAGTCACCAGGATTGCAGATTGGTGCCTTTCCCAACCTTACATGTAGCCCCCAGGGACTGAACATATGCCCTTTGCATGCAAGGAATGTGTTTGACCCTTGAGCTGCGGCTTGTCCTCAAAGCCTGAATGGACCAAAGTACAGCAGTGTAAAAAAAGTAATTAATGCCAGTGATTTTGTGGGCCATTTCTTTGAAAGTCATGTCTGTCCTTGGACTCTGTAGACTGTCAAGTCAAGAAAAGCATTCAAGTCCTTTCTTTTCAGTTGCTTCCTGCCCCAGAAGGCTGAAGAGTCTGGTATGGAAGAGGAGTTCCCCACCTTTTCTCCTGTAACTCAAGTTGATGTGGTTTGCCTCTTTAGCTAGCAATATATTCTTGGTGTATTCTGCTGCTTGGGCTTTGTCAACTTACTAAGTAGACAGAGTTGATTCTAAGCATATAGGAACCTCACCTTTTTTGTTTTCAACTTACCCATCTCTGGACTTCAACTAGAGACAGAAAAATGCTCCCATTAGCACCAGCTTTGTTCTTCTAGCTATTTGCTGTGCAGCAAAGCAGTTTTTGTTGTGACTGCAGCTGGGAAAAGAAGGGTGAAAACCAAGAACGACCATCTTGAGCAGGGATGGGACCACATTTTAATTTCCAGATCCTGCTACCATCCTCTCAAAGCCCTGAAATGGCCAAAATGGGAATAAAATAAAATCTAGAATTGTCAAGAAAACTTTCAGTTTTCAGTTTTGGATTTGGGTGAGGTTTAGAGGGTTTACCCCCTCTTCACTAGCTTGAAAAAAAGTCTAACCTGAGTTCTCAAAGAGTAAAAAAACAAGCGTGTTCTTGTGCAAAATGGTTTGGAACTGCACATAATAATCTCTGCCTACTCCAGGTTGAACCTATAGTGAGCAGAGTGGATTCTTCCTTGTAACCTCCTCCAGGATGGATGCTCTGTGCACATACTCTGCCATCACTGGGTATTTGACTGAAGCGCTAGGTGGAACTTCTTGAAACAGTGCTTCACCTGAAGAGGAATGCCATGCCTCACTTTGCTGAGTCATCTTCAGAGAGGGGAGATGATATCTTTCAGCTGGAGGAAGCCAGTGCACATGGGTAATTCAATGGCTTAGCTGACAGCTAAGAAACTTTCGGAAGGAGGTCAGATGCCAATTGTACTGGCAAAGTGTCAGAGGATGAAGAGAGACAGGATGATTTGAGGCCTATTTGTCCAAAAGAACAATGAAATTTCAAACAGTGTGCTTTCAAGCAGCTAGGTTTGTGGGAGATAACATATAAAGTCAGCTCTTGCCTGTTACCCATTTCTGCCGCCCAAGACTCCTTAGAAGCTCTTATGACCTGGAGTATTTGGCAATTGTGTGTCTGTTTTTTTTTTCTTGTGAATAAGGTGAGTGATGTATTGGACCAGACCTTTGGTTTGACCCACAAACTGGGAATAACCATCCCACACTTGGAAAAATAGCAGCCTTGATAATGTAAAATTGGCATTTGCTGCCCATTGATATAACAAAGAGAGGAAGAGTGAGATGCACACAGGAATAAGCTATCTGGGTCCCAAGAGTGGAGATCACCCGCCACACTTGCAAATGCAAGCTGAGAGTTGCCCACTTTCATATTGTGCTCCA